CCCCAAAACCCCAAAACCCCAAAACCCCAAAACCCCTGATATCTATTCAAGTATTGATTTTGCGAAATTTTAAATTTGTTAAGAATTTAAAGTTAAGAAAAATGATAGAGACCAGTAAAACCAACACTTCGTCTTTTCTCATTGCTCTGGACCCTCAGGAGGGCCAAGATAGCATCAGAACCTTCACACAGGAGGAAAGGGACATCAGGGTTCCCCTGATGAAATCTAACTCTGCAGTTGTGAAAGGCTCTCATTTGAACCTTATCTCTGAGAACCTGCAGAGAGAAGAAAGCAACGATGAAATTGAGAGGTCAAGTATTTTAGAGGAGTCTTACTCTTGCCTCACACAGAATGACCCCAGGTTTTCAATGGCAGCTCCTTATGAGAAGGCTAGGAAGACCTCGAAGAGGTATAACAGGAAAGAGAAGAGCCTCGGAGAACTTTGCAAAAAGTTTATCTATCTCTATGGAGCTAAACAGTATTGAATAATCGCCTTAGATGAATGCACCTTCACCCTTGGAGTCGAACGAAGGCGGATCTATGATATTATCAACATTCTGGAGTCCTTTAATGTACTCTCCCGCTTGGCCAAGAACAAATATGAATGGAGAGGGATAGACCAAATTGAAAATTCAATTAGAAGAATGCGAGGATGCTCCTTGGATGATCTTACTGCTCCTCCTGTTAAAAGGAGGAAAAAGAAGTCCCTAGGCATTCTTTGCGAGAGCTTCATTAAACAATTTCTCACTTGGAGGGAGACCATTTCTCTTGATCAAGCTGCCAGGAGAATCTCTGATGACCAGATTGATGAAAGCAAGCTTAAAACTAAAGTTAGGAGGCTTTATGATATCGCTAATGTACTTGCAGCTCTTAATCTTATTGAGAAGACTTCTCTAGAAACAAGAAAGCCCGCCTTTAAGTGGGTAGGCGAGACAGGCTTAAGAACTTTCATTAGTGAAATGGAGCAATATTTTGGAGAAAGTAGCATCTTAATGGAGCCAGCCTCAACTAAGAAGGAGCTGATGTCTAATGAAGTAGTCGAGCCAAGACTCAAGAGCTCAGAAACACGTCTTGAGAAGAGGCAGAACAGGGAGTTCAACAGAATCAACTCTGACTCTACCTCTCTGTCATTTAAAAATGTGGGACCAATCAAAGAAGTCAATCTAGCTTTTTGAAATTTAAATGCTAAAAATATTGAGTCTTCACTGTCAGAGCCTCAGGAAGAGATTTTAGCCAAAAACCTAGCGAAGGATGACTTGACTTTGCAGCTAGTCGGGATGCTGGATAAGCTTAGTGTTACTAAGCCTACTCATCCGGTCTATAAGCCTACTCCGATGTACCCAATCAACCATTTTCTTGAAAACAGCTGAGTGGTAAGCACCAGGTTTATTAACTTTTAGGAACTGAGAACGACAGTTCTAGACAAAATATGTGAAGACTTGTTGGAAAAGTACAAGGAGAATAAGCTGAATATTTCCTTTGAGCCAGAATACAAGACTCCTGCATTTAATAAGTTCCAAAGCGAGAGGTTTGATTCCTCTACCACACTTGCATCAGAGCACCCCAACTACGGGTCTAAGGCTAATAGAGAGGAGGTCGGAAAGGCTCTTAAGATGAAATGGACTCAGAACATGAAGGAGTTCGGGCTAAGCTGCACTAAAGGTCTCTTGAGCGAGAGGCCTAACCCTAGTAGCCATCTAGGCTAGGAATTCTAATTAATTATGACTTGCTCAGGCTAGGAATAATTTAAATTCTTTACAATTTGTGAAAGAATACTCGGGGTTTTGGGGTTTTGGGGTTTTGGGGTTTTGGGGTTTTGGGGTTTTGGGGTTTTGGGGTTTTGGGG